CGAATAACAAAGGTTAAGAACCACTGATCTAGCTGTTGCAGTGATTATACCCTTCTGTAGGACTAATACATTGGCATATTTCAGTATACAAATTATGGTATTAACCATTATGTTTAATATCATTATTCACTATGTCACAGACATCGGTTTACAAAGTCTGAAGTGGGACCTATGTCCTGTGAACATTAATTCAATTAAAGAAGCTGAGATCAGGCATATTGGGGCAGGTAGACCTCAAGCTCCACTTTGTTTTATAATAGAGGTCAAAAGCCCATGAACTGAAGCCATGTGCAAAACAATGGGAGGGAGGCAGGGAGGCAAGACAGTAAGGGACAGGGGTCCTGACAGGATTATACTAAATCAACACATTGGTTGTCAGAAGTAGAACACAGTTCACAATACATTCACACAAACATCCATTCTGATCCTCCCGCCAATTGCAGCAGCCTGCCTGAGAAGCAGGTAATGTTTAGTTGGTACCCCAAAGTGGTAAACCCATGCTGATGTATTGCAAATCAGAGAGAGCTACCACGAATCCTGATCTACCTTTTCCCTCTCCTGATGGGGTTTTGGGAGGAATGCCCCATCCAAAGCCAGGTCTATATTAGTGAGAAGATTAGTACCCAACAACATCACTATTTTCCTCTTTCTGAACAGTGAGAACTAGCTATTTCATGACCATCCATTGAACTATCAGCTGATTAATGTGAGTTTAAGGGTTTGGAGAAGCTACAAGACAAGAAATCAGAGCTTGGAAATTCTACTTCTTTCAACTACGTACAGTTCCCATAACCACAATCACCCCCAGCCGAATGGCTCCTAAATTTTACCAAGTTCTCCCCATGTAACCCTCTCTTGTTTTTCCATGACTTCTTCCCTCTTCCTACTTGCTGCAGAAAATCTGGGGGCAAGGGTAGAGACAGAATAGCTGCACAATGCATTATAACTGCTAGTTTAAAAAAACTCTGAACTAAAAATCCCTAGAAAACATACACATTAAAGACAAAGAGGAAATAGAAAAGGTGCTTTGGTGTGGCATATAACAGACTATGAAGATCCGCCACTGTACTGGACAGGTGGGAAAGGACTAAATGTGACCTTATGATTAACTGCCCAAGGAATGGAAATAGAGCTACCAATGCATAGCAGTATTCAAGACAATCTCCACCAACCCAACCCCGCCTTCTGTTAATTCAGTTTTATAAGTATATGCTGTAAAATGCAGGGAAAGGCAAAAGCTTTTCCATTCAGAATCAATACTAGCAATTTTGACATTTTCCTAGGACAAATTCTTCTACAACAGCCTTCCAACTGCCTGGTTGCTATTTATATAAGGCTTACCCAGCCTGACCAATGCTGCAGTCCAGCAACACCTGGAGGGTTGCATGTCGCCTACCCCTGGGGTTCTTCTGAAGGCCTTCATGAAAGAATCCAAAGGCCTTAATATCAAACAGGCAATTAGCTTCTCCATGGTAGTCCGGGGGTGGGGGGGGAGTGGCGAGGTGGCTAGGATCTTCATTTATGTTGTTTGCCTGGTACCAGACCAAGCTAATAGATGTGAAGAAGTTTATTCCAGGACAGAGCACAGGTAAGTGGAATGTCAGCTTTACAGCTTGTGCACAAACAGAGAGATGGACAGAAATGAGGGGATGTTACATAGCAGATTTGTTCTCATTATCCTGATGTTCTAACCATCTCAGCAGCATCCAGTTGTCTCAGAAGAAGGCTTTGAGACAATTTACTAAAGGAGACCAAGAACCCGTAGAAATGTAAAAACTACATCATTATTTTTGCTAGCTTTCTGTGATTTAGAATAAGGAGGATCAAAATGTGTGGGGCAAAGACATAATGTTTTAAATTATAGAAACACTATTTGACTCTTCAGAGCAGGTTTTCTTGCTTGCATCTTTCTTCTGGTCCCTTATGGACACAAAGGCCACTTTCAATGGGCGGGTAAAATGAACTCAGCAAAGAGGCCAGTGAATTTCCAGTACTTAGTAAACCTTTTCCACAAAAAAATTAAGAAAATGGTATTACAGACAATAGTTAAGATAGAGGGTGTCAGTTAAAGCATTCCTTTGCCTGCTCTAATTATTGGTAGAAGTGGAAGAGAGTAGAAAACTGATACACATTAATAGATGCTGTTAAAAGTCTAGAAAATGACTAAATAACATCTCTAACATTTCACAAACGTCTGTCTGGTTTCAAGCCTTGGTTAACTTTGGTTGATTATTTCAGAAACAAGCAAAAATACCACTGTTCCAAGTTTGCTGGGGTCCAGTCCCAAACATACAACTCCAAAAAGCCACTCCACCCCACCCACAAGATTGCTCTCAGAATTCATATGACGAAACTCTAATGGAAGGAAGGGGATTGGAGAGAGAACAAATGAACAATCTCTTAAACATATGCATTGCTCTCTCTCTACCACCCATGTTCTCTAGTAAAATTTACATCCCCTAATATTCACTAATGAAGCTCTGCATTGTTTCCTAATATGGGAATGGGGTGGCTCTACACAATCGGTTGAAGTATTGAGTCCCCTGCATCAATGTGTGTGTGTGTGTGTGTGTGTGTGTGTGTGTGTGTGTGTGTGTGTGTGTGTGTGTGTGTGTGTGTGTGTGTGTGTGTGTGTACAGAAATGCACTTAAAGATAACTGGTGTGTTTGTATGTGCGTGTAAAGAAATGCACTTAAAGATAACTGTTGTTTGTTTATTTCTCCAGTCCTAATGCCATCTCATAGTAAACTGTAAGATTGTTCAGGCTCCCTCATATCTCTGTAGAACATAACAGATTAGTCCCTTCCGCATAGTGGGTCTATTTTCTTCCAGGCCAGCTTTGCAGCAAGGATCCTGGCTGCCCATTGGTTGCTTGTGAGCACTGCTCCTGTTCCTCCTCCTCCTCCCCTAACAAAGGTAAACACAATAGCTGTCTTGTGGGGCTGAGAGAAAACAGACCCACTGAGAATCCATCACCTGCTGATTGGAACACATTGGAAAGGGATGTTGTCTGTCTGCATTCTAAACAGAAAGAAGTGCCTGAACACAGGCGCTTTTCTCCCACTGCCTCAGTCTGAATTATACATTAGATCTTCCTCTCACCTGGTTGATCTTTAGGACCCTAGTCTCCCATCCTGTGTTCCCTATGTGAACAGCCAAGCTTCTACCCCATTTCTATGTTTTAGCTTCTTAGTCTTTGTTATTTAAATACTATGGTTTTGGGCTACGTAGGTATCTGTTTGCACCGTTTGCCAGTTTTATGTATGAGGGAGGAGTGTCTTTCTGGATCACTTTCAGATTTTATAATGGTTAGGCAAAGTGTACCCCTCCAGATATTGTTGAACTGCAATTCCATTCACCCTGAGCTGGCACACCCAGTGCAGCAGTGAGGGCTGCTAGGAATGGTCATCTACAACACTTGAACATCCACATTGACCTACCCTCTTTAAGAAATATAGTACGAAGTGCAGAGTGCGAAGCCATGGGTGGCACAAATTCCCCTGCCTTTATGTGGACAGTCAACATGGTCGTCTCTTTTCAGTGGTGGAAAGTAAGACATTGATTGAGGAGCTGGCATTACGTTGGTAGGTTTTCTTGTGGATTTGTTACAGGGACATTTTGCCAATGTACTTCTGAAATGAAATCTGCAAGATCTTGTGGCTGTTGGGATGTCACACTGACTGGAACTCTCTCTTACCCACCTCCAGCCAAGCCTGGAAAACGTCGTCGTCCCTGTTCCAGGGCTGGAGAACCTATAGCGCTCCAGATGCTGCGGAGCTCTAATTCCCATGAGGTGTGATTTTCTTGGCTAATGCTGAAAGATGATAGAAGCAGTAGTTCATCAACCTCTTGAGACTCACAGGTTCCCTACCTCTGCTCCAACCTTTGGTGTGGAAAGGCTGGTTGAGATTACTTAGTGGCATTGGGTAGTTTGCATTTGATCAAATGTTCTTTCACATTTCCATGAATATTTACATGGAAGTACTGAGTTGTTGCACTTAATATAGATTCTAAGTTCTGGGGGACCTTGGTTCAGTTTAACCATCATCTTTTTTCCACGGTTAAGATAGTCCAATTTTATGGAGAGTCGTCCTTAGGTTTTGAGATCTTTGAATAGTTCAGAGGAAATCAAAAGGTGTGATGTATTTGTTTTCTTGATTTAGGGCAATGGGGAGTGTTTCCCCAGAATATGTGCCATTTGGTATGGCTTTATTGATAAAGGATAGGTGCTGGGATTCAGTTTTGTCTGGAGCTTCCTGTTGACATGAAAGCTGTTCCCTCCATCCGTAGAGGTGTGGAGAATAATTGGACTTCTAATTGAAAATACTATGGCACTCTGTGCATGTTTAAAGACACTTCTTCCCTTTAACTTCAGCCGCACCGCTTCCTAAAGTCATTAGCAGCCCCCCTTTTATGGGCAAAATTGTGTTTTTCTTTTGTGGTGCTGCTCCTACAAGTTTGGACTCTCCCACCTTTTCCATGAAGCCAATCGACACCCCCTCCAACTCCTTCCCTCTCCTTAAACCAAAAGGTTTAACTTAATTTTTTTTCTCCCTCAAGTCCTTTACAGAGTCCCCCCCCGGTCCCTACCCCCCCCCCCACATTTCAAGTTTGCAGCTGTCCCGATGCATCGCTACGTCCGCTAGCAATAATAAATAAAGGAGCTAGTTTGGACTAGGGGTGGCAACGAGCAGCATTTGAAAATCTGTGGAGCAGAATTCCTGTGTTGAAGGCAAGTCTCTCCTCCCTCCCTCTGCCCTCATTGATTTGAGGCGGGGAGGCGGGAGGCGGGGGAGGCGCTGCCTGGGTGGTCTCTTCTCTCTCCACTTTGGTGAGCTGTTGCTTAGCAGCTAATAATAGGAGATGTTTGCGGAGTAATTTGCCTCTTCCTCGGCCAATGGGAACCCGGGCACTTTCCCATCAAACCAAACCTTCCTCCCCCCGCTCTTCTTTTCAGGATCTCGAAGGAGACTGTTTGTTCCAAATGTTGGTGGGACGGGATCTGAGGCGCACTGCACCGCCGGGCACCCGGACGCCTCTCCTTCTCTCGGGGGCTGCGTAAGCTTTCGATTGCCGTCTCCTTGCCGCGCGTCGGAGGGGCCACGCTGGGCGGCGCCGAGGGCGCACGGGGCGCGCTTGGATGGCCCCGGAATCGCCCCCATAATGTCCGCATGGGACCCCCGCAGCAGCCACTCTGAAGCTTCGGACCTTACATTTCTCCTCTCTGGATTACCGCTCCCGGGAAATCGCCTGCGCCTCTCTGCCTCCCCCCAGCACCGTCCTCGCTCGACCCCGGAGCATGGCTTCGGATCGGCCGGTCCCTGGGGCGGGGGGCTTCTTTGGAGAGCTCCCGATGTCTTACGCGGCAGCGGCGGCGGCGGCGGCAGCTGCCAACTCGGATCTTCTTCGGAGACCAAGCTACTGCCACGCTGCCTTCGCCCTCAAGCAGATCTCCAAGGTAAGAAGGGGATGGAGGCGCTTTCCCACGGCTGGGGGAAGAGTGGAAAAGTTGGGGTGATCCCATCCAGGGCTCCAGGGCAGCCGTCACAAAAGAGCGGAAGGGCGGAAAGGGCCCGAGCGAGAGAGAACTGTGGGGTGGCGGCTGCAGCCGCTCGGATTCTTTGGGGCGAAGAACTGAAGGGAGCCGGAGGGAGGGGGCGACCTCTCGCCGGAGTGCTCTGAACGGAGCCCGCTCCCGGGTCCCAGGAGTTTGTTTATTGAAAGGGGAGACGCGATGGAGCCGTCCAGGAGGGACTGTGGCGTTTAAATGGGAAGCATGGGAGAGGCCCGCCCGCGATCGGTTCTTGCCGGAGGATGCAAGGGATTTAGGCAGCTGTAGAAGCTTGGATGAGAGCGTATTCTTCTTCATCATCTTTGCCCAGAAGTGAGAGAAGAGCGGGCTTTTTTTTTTGGTCAGCGACTTGGTGAAAAGACACTGCGGGGGGGGGGGAGGGAGGAAAACAGTGCAGAAACACCGGCAAGAGCCCTCGAAAGCTTGGTAGGGGCAAAAGGAAGCGCTTGAGAAACGGGGCAAGGCAGGTCATGCATCCTCCCTCCCTCCCTCCCTCCCTCTCCATATAGCTGACAAATTAACTTGGGGCTCTTTACAGCATATCCAGTGGTGGATGCAAGAACCCTGCAGGCTCCATTCAAACAGGGAGCTGCAGCTGCTGCTGGCAGGGGATTCCCTGTAGGTGAGGGGCGGGTCTGGAATAGAGGAGGGAAAACAGATCTTAAGGTAGAAGCAAAAGAGGGGGGGGGGAGGAATCCTTGCTTTGGCTCAGTTCCCCAAGCTAGAATTCTGTGGGCCCTCTAAAGTGGCATGAACTTTTGGATGGCTTGTTTCTTGCATGGCATGACCAACTAGGGTTCAAATGAGGACTCATCCATATTTAAAGGTGTCAGCCCCATCTTAATGAGAAAAAAAAAATCCTAAAAGGATAGGCATTGGACTTTGCATGTTTCTAGCAAATGGTTGCACATACTGTACTAAGGCCCCTGAATCTGTGAATAGTATCTTACTATAGTGTCTTTTTCCAGGGCATGAGGTCTGCTTTAACATCAGTGCCAGCTACCCTGGGAAGGATATTACTGCTCCCTCTCTGTAGCAAAAATGCCCCAGCTAACTCTCCATTTCTTTCCCTAGGGTAAGGCTGTGGGCCAGAAAGCTCCACTGTGGCTGCGGGCCCAGTTCCAGGCTCTGCTGTTTACACTAGGTTGCTGGATCCAACGTCATTGTGGCAAAGTGCTTTTTGTGGGGCTACTAGTCTTTGGGGCACTGGCTGTTGGGCTGCGAGTAGCCTCCATCGAGACAGACATTGAGCAGTTGTGGGTGGAAGGTAAGTTCCCTCCTGGGCTGATATGAATGATGGATGGAGAGCGATATAGAGCTGGGGTGTATGTGCATGATTTGTCAAACTGAGTGGAAGGCAAGTGAATTTTGGTCTTAACCTGGAGAACCTTGTGAGGAGAGATATTGGCAACAAGATCTATCTCAAAGCTCTCTCTCTGTACACATTCCAGTTTGCAAGTAGCTTCTCAATTTTGGCACCTGGTCTTCTTGGGCAGGTACCAAGCAACATACCTATGTTTATGTGTTTGGATATGGGGAGGGGGGGAAAGCTTGAGTTCTTAAGCCTTGAAGGGAAAGAATGAATTCCTCATTTGAGAATAGCTTGGAAGTGTGGCTTCAAAATTATGCTATACTGTCTCAAGAGCCACTGGGCAAAGGGGGGAAAATGAAAACAATAAAACTTCTTGTCTAAAATGATAATTGCACAGGGAAGAAGGTTGGAAGTTCCTTATATGTAAGCCCCATTGATATGAATGAGAGCTGGATGAGAATGTACATGTGCCTTTATGCAAGTCCATTCAAGTTCAAGGGATTGCCTCCAGAAATATTTTCAAAGGGTTGTGCCAATGGTTTTTAAGTCAGATCCATGTTTCTAGCTGAAATTGTAATTCTTTGGAATGTCTGGGGAAGACTACCCTATATAATATGCAAAAGATGAACTTTAATTGTTAATCTGAAATGTTGGAATAGAACCTTTCCATGTTCTCTTGTAGGCTTGTGGGATGTTGGACTAAAGAAAATGTGGTTGTCCTGAGCTCTGTATCATTTAACACTATGTCAAAGGTTATGGTTTGGTTGTTGTGGGTTTTTCGGGCTCTTTGGCCGTGTTCTGAAGGTTTGGATTTAGATCAGTAATGTGATGCATAACATTCATGACAGGCAGTTTCCAAAATCTGGGGAAAGGATGGCTCTTGAAATGTATTTATCTATTGCACTTAACAAAGTTTCTATGCTTTCTCTTGTTCAGATACTGATATTCAGATACACATCAGGGTCATACTTCAGCAGTAGAACCTTACTTATGTTGTACCTTTCACCCATTTTCTAGTTAGAAAGGGGTCATGGTGATCTTCTAAACAACTACCTTTTGAGCTGCCACATCCCTTTCCCCTTTTGGTCTTGGGCCTGTTTGGTAAAATTTGGTTCTGAGAAGCTGTGGTTATAAGGCACCAAATACTGGGAAATACCTTTCCCATAACCGAAGAGTTAACCATTATTTTTTAATCCCATCCCTCCCACCCCTACCTTTTTGGTGAGAGATAGAGAGTTTGGTTTCTGCATTGGAGTTACTCCCCAAGTGTCTATGTGTGTATATAAACTTTCTATGCTGTTCTGTGTGTGCCTGTGCATGTTGTAAGCTCATACAATCCAGATCTCTATCAGTGAAAATACATGCCTCCATACAGACATGTGTAATTAAATTCTTTCCCCCATCTCAGATATTTTTTTTCTTGCCACCGGGCCTTGCTTGGTGCATTAAATTATTGATATTAAAATCCTAAATTACTTTTCTGAGTGTGGTGCTGAAGGAGAGGATAATTACTGTCTATGACAGAGCTGTCAGTTGAAATTTGACTTGGGTCACATTCTCTGCCAGCTGAGAATGGAATCACGTTAAAGCCAAACAGCTGAAAGCAAAAGGGGTCACCTAAGAGCAAATCCTAATTTCCTACTGGAAACATTTGATAAAAATGATGCCTTTGTTATTAATAAGTTCGGCATGCTATGGTTTCCCCCTGCTCGGCACTGCCATCAGTTCATGTGGCAGTTCCTGGGGTCTGTTTTTTTGCTTCCCATCTCCTGTTACTGCAATCTCCTCTTTTTTTGACACTAGGTTGTGCTGAGTTTTCACACCCTGGGATTTTTTATTTTATTTTATTTTATTTTTTTGCAAGCAGCCTGGGAGCTTTCCAAGAGCAGATGTTTCTCTGTGATGACTGTCAGCAATCTTTGGCGCTCCACACCTCCTCCCTCTGCACAACCCCAGCTCCATGTGTGGTCCTAAACTACTCTTGGACTTTGTTCAACAATAGAAGCAACTTTACTCTTCCACCCTCCCACTCCCTTTTAAATAAAACCCACACTCACGTGAATGCCAGTAAAGTTTACCCACCTGTTTCACACACTAAAGGAGGATTGGAAGGGGAGGGAGAGCCAAAATCTTAGCCTTTCCCGTCCCTTTCTTTTTGCTTCTGCCTTATAAGAGACTTGTAGCCAAAAAGGAGATCCATCAAAACCTGCAGCTGTTAAACATTTAAAGAAGGGAAATCCCTTTTTTGTAATCAACACATCTTAGCCCAAATCAGGAATATCTCCTGAGAACCAGAATAGTAGGGCTTGTACCTATTTATTGCTTTTGATGCTAACATTTGTGCAGCCTTCAGAAAGATTCTTCTTTTTTGCCTGTTCCTTTGATAGGTTGCTGGCTCGCAAGACAAGAGTTGAGATAGAGCACTGGCTGTAGGAACTCTTGGTGTGTGCATTTGGGTGCATAAAAGAGGGCACGAAACGTCACACTGTTTTGTTGGAAACTTTTTTGCCACATACTAATATGTTAATATTCATTCACTTTTTGAAGGAACACTTGCTGATGTATTTTTCTTTGATATTGTTTCCTACATTAGAAATTAGTATATTGTGGCAAATACAGTAGTGGAAAGATCTATATTTTGATTTTTCTCTCATACTTCATTCGAAAATGACTTGTCCTCTTAGTTGGCTGGCATTTGCCAAACAGGGATTTGCAATGTTATTGTTCAGTAGACTGCTTGATGTATGGAATGAAAGCTCTTTCAAAAGAGCTGGCATGCAGATAGATACAAAAAAAGATAACATCTATAGAGTTCCTTGTCTTTCTTCCCTCCATTTTCTGTTCTGTAAAACACAATTGTGGTTGCTTGGTTATTGTGCTGTAGGTTTCTTTGTTCAGAAACACATAATCTGAGGTCACTGTTGTAAAGATTTGCTCTTAACTGCCCTGCATCACCTTTTTTCAGTTGTTTGGGTCACTAAAGATAGTAATTTAGGTATCTGACTTGGAAGCCAGAGGTTGGGAGTTCAATTTACCATGGACTACAGTCAGCCTGTGTGGCCCTGGGCAAGCTGTACAATCCCAGAGCACCCCGCAGAAGAAGAGAATGGTAAACCAGTTCTGAATATTCTCTACCTGGAAATCTCTGAAAAGGGTTACCATAAGTCAGAATTGACTTGATGGCATATTATTATTTTTAAATTAGAAGCTATTTGCTGTCATATATACATTTCTAGAGCAGGAACAGGTTTGTCTTAGATCTCTTTGCTTCTGTGCTGAGTTACATACAGCACTTACTGTGTACAAATGGATAAACCTGCTGAAACAGTGAATTATGGAATTTACACCATCTTTCTTTCAGTCTTACTCATGTCATGCCCTTTGCCATCTCTGATTGTTTTGATTTGAGCTTAGTTCTCTATGCATACATTTTGGGCTTAGATGAGGAAATGTATTTTTATTGAGGGCCACCTACATTTTGGGGGGGCAAAGCCCAAAGTGTGTCTCAATCAGAACCAAACTGTGCCTCAGTCAGGACAGGTGAAACACACCTGTCCTGTTTCACTACCACTGTTTTTGCTATGTCTTTTACCCATGCCAGTTCTCTCCCTCTCCCTCTCTCTTCCTTTCTTGTTTTCACCACTAATTAGGCTCCTAGAGAAGAGACAGACCATTTACTCTTATCAGAGGTTTAAACTGATCACTTTATTTCCTTCATTTTCCATCACCTGGCTGCTCCCTCATTCCCACTCCCAGAAGTCTGAACTGACTGCTTGCACATGGGTGCTCCATGTCCATCGTCCCATCGGTTTTCTATTCCTTTGGAATCCATGCCACTTTTATGAAATCAGGTGGAAAATGGCATGGGGAGTGGGAACCATCCTTATTCTACTGAGAGGTTCATTTTCTAAATCTTTTCTTTGTCAGTACATAACCCATTGCCGTTGCTTGCACTTTTAATTCACTGTTGTGTTGTGTACTTTAATTAACATGGGTAACATCCCTAGAAAATATAGATATCTTTTCTGTTCTGGATGTTTGCATCTGAAGCAAGAAGCTAGCATAGAATCTTGTATGTGGATCACGAGAGTCAGTATAACAAAGTAGTGGGAATCAATAGCACATTTAATTTCCTGTTGTTCTAGGCATGAAGATGTTTGTTGTTTTTTCTTTCTTGTTATATGCTCTTCTTAAAACTACTTATTCCATTCACCTGTTTCTTCTGTGATTTCCTTGTACACCATATGTGAAAGCTGTTATTTTCCCATTGCTCAAAGATGCACCCTGAGTTTAAACTGTTGTTTAGGTAAAAAAATCAAGTCAGGAGAGACACTCTTCTCAGGCCATTAGAATGTCTGATTCCAATTGCACTCTTGTTTTTCTTTAGCTGTGACAGACTGAGCTTCTATCTCTCAGCTTGGCCATTTATTGTTCCTTTGTGTAAGGAAACTGCCCATTTTAAAGAGTCTACCTGCATTTATTGTGTACCACAACATCTCAGAATATTAATGAGGAAATTAGCATCAGCCAGGACTTATTAGGACTGACATCTTAGTTTTTGTAATGATGAGATAAACACTCAAGTGTTGTAACTTCAAAATATTGATAATATAAACCCTAAATGACAGCATATTTACCGTATTTGAAAGCTTTCCCCAGCCTTTAAAACCTTTGGAGGGCAGTTGTGATCTCAGTGAGAAACATTTCAGCTGTAGCACCCTCTTTATAGAATTCCCTGTCCCTGGAGGTGTATCAGACATCTTCAGTAATTCTGTTCTACAGGTGACTTCATACATGCCTATAGTTCAGCAGTTTAGGTATCTGGCTATGGAGCAAGAGGTTGGGAATTTGATTCTCTACTGTGCCTCCTGGGAGAAGAGCCAACCTGTGCAGCCTTGTACAAACTGCACAGCCCCAGAATGCCACCAGAAGAAGGGAATGGTAAACCACCTCTG